ACCAGAAGGTCCTATAAGCAATTCATAATTGAAAGGCGAATTTATCCTTTCAGTAACTATGACAAATTCCCTCCCTTCCCTTGGAGACAGAGCAGACAAATGCATGTTAGAGTCGGAGCTCTCTTCTAGCTCCGTGACCACTAGCTCGTGTCTTTTTCTGAAAGTCCAAACATTTTACCTTACTCTCATCTTTCAAATAGGATTAAATCTCTCCCTGCTTTCCACAGGTGAATGATGAAATGTCAGCTACTGTACCAAGAGTCACACTTTGCTTATGTGGAGGAAAAAAGTCTCATTTAAAAATGTTTTGATTAGAAATGGCTACTGAAGGATGAGACTGCTCTGGACTGTGAGACAGAAAATCAGGACTCCTTTCTAGGAGAGCGTGTGGCTGCAAGTTTGGAAAGGGTGTGCAAGTTTGAGAGAAAGGCACCAGTTGGGTGGGGATACTTTTGTCTCTCAGTGCTGATAGGGCCTTAAATAAGCTAGCTACCTCTTGTTTGAAAATGGGGACAAAGACACCTATGTGCAAAGTGCAGCTACCTACGCAACACCCCGAAGCTGGCCTAACGGTAGCTCCTCTGGAGGCACAGGGAGCAACTGGGAGAAGCCATTTCACTGTTTTGGGCCGCATGCATTTCCCTGGGGTCTACAGACTACCTGTAGGGTGTACGACAAGGTAACCTAGGGAAATACTCACTGGAACATGTTCTGTATCCCACCTTATTCCAAGAATGTCACCCAGTCCTTTGAGTTTTCTAGATTGCTGGAAACAAAGTTCCTTGAAAATAGCAATTCTTCCTTTCATTTTTGAAAGTCCAAGCCCAAGAGTTGGTGGTGGTGGTGGTGGGGGGGAGATGAGGGGATTGTGATGGGAGCTTCCCCAGATCTGGAGAGACTGGATCAGCCAGCTTGGTGCATCTGTGAGAAGCGGACATGCTCAGTAGGTGTGGCCAGGCCTCAGGTCAGTGGGCTGCTCAGATACAAGGGCTTGACTTTGACAGTGACCCCCAGTTTGCAAGTAGAAGTTAAAGGCAGAATCCACAAAGACAGTTTAAGTACAGGAACTCTTGGCATGTGGGAAGACTGCGTTGTTCCGGAGATTGGATTTTCTGAAATGAATGTGCTGCTGGCATGAATCCTTGGAACTGAGTTAAGTAAAGTGACATTTCTTGTAGCCCTGTGTTTCAATTGTGCAGGTGGACTCAGACTGTCAGCATTCAGAATCTGAAAATAAATTAATTCCTACACTCTAGAGGCTTCTCACCTATTTGGGATCTGGCAGATATTAGGAGCCTACATGAAGAAGTGTCACTGATGCACTACAAGATCCTGGTCTGGTATGAACTGTAGCAAGAGACAGAAAGCTGGTTTTTACAAAAGGCAAGTGACCAGGGGGATGAGTAAAACATTCTCCTGAAAGGACAGACTAAAATGCACCCTCTCCCAAACGCATGCCAACACCATTATTATGTAACTGCTGCAGTCCTGAGCTCTTAGGCGCTTGCAGGCCCTACAGTTCTTTTGGCACTATGCCTGTTTGATAAGAAGGAAAAGTCTGGAAACTGATGATCGAAAAGGAACTCTACAGTTAGTTCCATGGAAGTGTTTAGCAATTTATCTTCATGGAATTTAAGAAATGGGAGGGGCCTCAGAATTCATCTAGCTCTTTCTGTCCCTTCTTTTGTCCACCCCTCCCATTCTTACAGGGGTGACCCAGATTCAGATCATGTGGAACCCATTATGATGGACAAGGCCTTGGTGGGGCAGGCACAGGAGGTGGGCCCGGAGTGGACCTCCTCCCCTTAGGTCGTGAACACACCGGTGTGGTCTTGTACCTGGACAAACACCTCTTCCTAGGGAGGCTGAGCTCGGCCCCTCCTTATACTGATTAATCATCTTAGATGATTACGCTCATTATGTTACTTTCTTGATTATGAACTTTTAATGATTTTCCACAAAAAAAACCCCAAAGTATGTGTTTTGGCAGTCAAGGCTTCCTGTGCTCTGATTCCAACCGAGGCTTTCGGCACATTTCCTTCTGCTCTCTGCATGCACCCCGCCCTGCCAGGGTGACTTCCCAGGGCCTCCCCACCCTGGTCTCTCTCCTACTAATTTTCTCCTTGCTGCCTAGCACAGCCCTCTGCCAACCTTCACCCGTCCTTCGCGGTCAGAGTGCACATTCCTTCCTCTGAGGATCCTTTTCTGGGTGAGGGGGTAGGGCTAGAGCAGCATTTCCAGCTGAGCTTGACTTGACACCCTCCTCTGCCCAACCCCTAGAAGATTCCAGGTGGGTGACACCATTTCACTGGGGACTCACTCACCTTTCTGTGAAATGGACAAGTCAACACCCACCTGCAGTCTTGTAAAGACACACGGCCAGTCATGTTTCAAAATACTGAGCACGACTCCTCATAGGCGGTGAATGTCGGGGACAGCCCCTTAGCGATGCCTTTCCAGAACCCCATAGTCTCCTGTTCTCTGACTTGCTCTGAGCCTCTGGTTGCCTCCTAACAGCTCATGTTACATTGTAGGCATTCGCGTGCACCTTTCTCTCCCCTACCTGATGGATAATTCCTTGAAGGCAGGCTGCTGTTTAATTTAGCTTTTCCCCTGTGCCTGGCCCTCGGGAAGGGAATACTCACAGTAGGTCTCCAGGCCACGGGCAGAGGCTGACCTTTCCAGGGTAAAATTACTGAGAAGAGTCGCTTTGCTGCTGCTTTCCTCCACTTTCTACTAGTTGACAATAGTTCAAGGTCTAGCTCAGCTGTAACTCCATGGGAAGCTTGCTTTACTGACAGCAAGCCCATATGCTAAATCCCTCTTTGAGTCCTCCACCTACTTCTGTGCTATTTAAGCCGGATGTCTCTGTCAAGGGCCAAGTTCAAAGAGCCTTGGTGAATAAGGTTTCTGGCACAGATTAGATCTTCATTTTGGTTGCTTCAATTACAATGGCTCTCTTTGCTAATTCTTCCATGAGTTGGTTCCCGAGCCTGAGGCATTTTAGGTCTGGTTCACAGACAGGGCTTGGGACGGTCCCTGCAGCCTGGCACAGCCTGGTTCCAAGCTGGAATTAGTCAGGCCCACCGCCCTGGCCCTGCCTGGCAGTTCATTAGTTAACTCTGTCCTCCCTGTCCCCTGTGTCCCTGGGCCCCTCACAGATGTTGTCTCTCCCCCAGTCTCTCTGAGGGAGGAGGCAGATGGGGCCTCTCGCCCGGGTCCTTCTGGGGACGACCCTGACTCATCCTCTTCAGGGCACTGTGCAGGTTTCATGATCAGCCCCTGTGGGTAAGCCTCAGCTGAGCCAGCTGCCCAGGATGCTGTAGCTACATAGTCGCCTCTTTGTTTTGGTCCTCTTTGGGGCCATCTCCGGTCGGAGGTGGGGCCAGAGAAGCCGCCAGCCCCGCTGGGAGCCTGGTTGGGAAGTCCGCGCCCCACACCCAGGCAGTCACCCCACGCCACGCGGCGCCTGCGCACTTCTCTCTCGGCCGCACCCATCCCCAGGGCGCGCTCAGGCGCCACGCAACAGGCTGTCCCAGCTCTCCTGCTGCCTGCGATGAGGTCATGGGGTGGGGGCTGCCCTAACTGGCCTGCGAATGGACCGAGGGAAGGAAGAGACCGGAACCTCTCCGCGGCTGCGGATGGCGTGCGTGGGGATGGAGGGAGGAGGCGCGCTGGGAGACAGACGCGGACGCGCAGACGTGGCCACCAGGCGGCCGCCCACAAACACCGATGGAGAGGAACTCCGAGTCTGCAGTGACCACCGCGCAAGGAGCTAACGGGGCTGGCCTCTCCTTTCCCCTGGCCAGTCCTCTCTTTGATCTGAGCCTCTTGCCGACAGAGGCTGGGGAGGCCTGTGTCATCCACCTTTGGTAATTAGAAATTTGACACAGACGGAAACAATCTTCCAGAAACAGCCCCAGCTGACACAGCCAGGCAGGTGGAGCCTGTCCAGCCAGCGATGGGGCCGCCCTCACACTGCCCCCCAGGCCTGGGCGTCTCTCCTGGGGTTTCTGTGCCCCTCGGTTCTGCAGGCTGAGGTCGCTTAGATGTCCCCAGCATTCAAGCTCCTGCAGACCCTTTGGGCCTGTGAGTACATGTGTGTGCTCCGAGGGCGGATCGCGGCCCACAGGGAGCTGCGTATTTCTATGCAGAGCTAGAAATTTCGCACCGGAGCACTGATAACAGAGACCTTCGCCAGGGGAGAGGAGCCTCCTTCCCCCACAGGCTTGGGCCCTTCCACCGAGCCACCACACGCTTCTGTGACCACTAGAAAAACCAGGACTTTCTTCACCTCTCTGCTCCCCACCTGTTTCTGAGCTGCAAGGAGAAAGCAAAGACGCAGGGTCCCCAGCCCCTCACTAGCTCAGGTATGCGGGCAACCCGACTTAGCAAGCCTTCAGTGGGACTGCACTTTTCTCTCTTCCCCAGGGACAAAATCCCTGTAACACCGTCTTGTGTGATGACCCAGGAAAAGCAAATGATTTATTTAACTTTTAGAAGCATATTCTGCAAAACAAGTCATAGCAATGACACTTCAGAGACTTTTTGGACTGATGTTCAGATCTTCCATGGGAAAGATTTCTGAGTTAATAAAAAGACCAAAGCTCTGGAAGTCGAGTTGCCTGCCACGGGAATAAGAAGACCCAGATACTCTGGCGTTGGGGTCACCACCAGGCGGGGTGGGGGTGGGGGTGGGTGGGATGCTGGTCTGTGCATCAACTGCAGGTCTGGAAGGCCCACATGCATTTTTTTTTTTCCAAAGAAATGTCCCTTTATCATGCAGTCAATGACATTCCAGAGTCTTGGGTCAAGCAGAAGAGAAGGTGAGAGAAAGCCCCCCAGCCCCCAGCTGAGGGCTCCAACTGTTGATTTATCATTTGTTGACATAGTTCCCTACTTTGTCACAAATAGCTGTCTTAAGTTCTCCAGTAAATACTCTCTACGAAGACCGTGCAGGCGGAAACAAGAGAAAAAGCTCAGTGAAAAAGGCAACTTACCTTCTCTAGGCGGTGTGGACGTCAGACTTGCCTGCGTTGGCTGTCCCATGAATTTGAAACCTTCCAGAAAATGTAAAGCAGAAATATGTACTTGGTATTCGAAACTACTTCAAAATAATACAAAAAACAACTTGTTAAAAAATAAAGTGCTCTGAGCTTGAGAATGCACTTGAAGCTGGGAGCTCATGCTGTTGTTCGAAGCTCTGCAACTGTCTTTGTGGGTTTAAATAACCTTCCGCTCCTCCCAAGGCTCTCGCCAACTTCTATAATTTAAAGCAACTGTGATCCTTCCCATAATACTCACATTTCAAAGCGCTTAATATATACTCTCGTTATGAAAGAGTTAGAGCGCTGACGTTCCTGTGCAAACCCTGGCTGGAGGCAACGGAGAAGCAAAGCTCCCGGCATCTACACATTGTATTTCTCTCCCTTATCCACTGTCATGTCACTGTGTTCTCCAAGTTGTTTTTGCCTTTTGAAGTGAGGTCTTACAGCCAAATGGCATTGCTTTCCTGGAAGCTTAAAAAACAACAACCAAAAACTCAGCACATAGGAAACTCCGTGTTCTATCTTCTGGAACAATGGTAACTATTAGGATTGTGTCCAAACATCACTCTTGCTGACACAAAACATAGTCATCACTATGTGGTTCTTCCCTAACTTGTCCGTTGGACAATTTGAAGTTAGCATGCATTATTTTCTCCTGAAAAGGGCTGATACTTAAGATAATTTATTTGCATTATCTTAGTTTAACATCTGTCTTGTTTATGAATTATAAACTCTGGGAAGCACACTTGTTTGGCAGCCTGTCGTGCAATTTAATAAGTCTCCTGCCTTCAGTCTTAGCTGACGTTGCTGTTTTATTCTTTCTATCACCTTTCCCCAACTACCATTATTTCTCTCTCTCTCATACACACAAGCACATGTGAATTCAAATTGCAGCCAACTGCATGTTGACAACTGAAAATGATGATTAATTTTTTTT